GGTAGTATCAAGTTGAGCAAGATCCTCATCAACTGGAAAAGGAGAAGTTAGAATATCCTCTGGTGAAGTTATCGAAGAGAGACTTTGAATTTGTTTTCTCAACTCTAAGACTGTGTTTGTTGGATCCTCTAATCTAATTGTTACCTCATAGATCAGTTCAGCTTTGTTGAGGTGTTCAAATTTAATTAATCTAGGCATTGTTAAGAATAAAGATAAGTTAATAAAGTTCAAATTAAATACCTTGTTTCCTTCTAAAAAAAATAAAATTAGAGTGAGTAAAAATGAAGTTCAGTGAGAGCTAAGAGTTAGAAAGAAGAGGAAAAAAAATAGAAAAGTTAAATAAAAATTATAAGTAAAATAAGGAATAAGATGACTAATATTTACAATTAAATAGAGTATAAAGGTATTTAGATAAATAAAGCAAGTTAAGAATATTTACAATATATATAAATATATATATATATATATTATGATAAAGGGGATTTTTTTTATTTTCAAATAAGATGCCAAAGGGGATGAATGGGATAGGGACACTAGAAGAAGTGTTGTTTTAGAATTTAGAGGGGAGGCTGGAGGGACAAATGAAGATAAAGGTAAGGAAGAGGGAAAAACTAAAGAGAAGACCTGAAGACTAAATTAAAGAGTTGGGCGCCAATTTTGTCGGGTAGCAACAAAATGAAACTAGATAGGAAAGAAGGAAAAATCAAAAGAACAGTATAGGAATATATATTTACAAGATAAAGTAGTATTTACAGATTATTAAAAAAAATATGGAATGTGTGTGTAGTGTGGGTTGTGAAGTGGGCGTGGGTCGTCGGCGATCTTCAGGGGCGGCTTGAACGGTAGGTCGTGCTACAGGTAGATGGACGGCGCTCCTTGGAGACAGAAGCGCTCCTGTGCAGCCGTCTTAGTTCTTGGCCTCCCCTGGTGGTTGCTGGTGGCGCTGCTGGTAGTTTGGCCGGCGTATATCGGCCAGAGGCAGGCGTTGAAGAAACGGCAGGAGTCGGTAGAAGGCGGGCTGAAGCAGCTGGAGGCTGGCCGAAGAAGCTGGAGTCCAGGTGCAGTCCCACCGATGAGGTTGCGAGAACGTGAATAGTAGTATAGTATTGGAGTTAGGAAGTTGTTTAAAGAGCCAATAGGTGCTAAAAAGCTTTGAGGTCTTTCTTGAGTCCCGGGGCAGTCGGCCCCGGGACAAGGCCTTTTATTAATTTAGAGCTCGGTAGCGAGCTTTCAAAAGTTGAGTAGGCAACTTTTGCCGTAGAATTGAATAAATGATCAGGGAGGCTCGGCCTTTTATAGGTCCGGAACCATTTGAATTTAGACACGGTTCGAATCGAGCCAAAAAGAATCAAAGTAAGTGGTCTGTGGAGGTTGAATAGTCATAGACGTAGTTGGAGAGAGTATCCGTGTCATGGGTAGCCATGGCAACGGTTAAAAAACATTAGGTTGTCATAAAATGTCAATAAAATAAATAAATTAAAAATAGATAAAATCAAAGCATAATTAGTGAAAACAAGTAAATAACAGAATAAAGAGAAATGCCGGTAAGTGTCCAGCGCTCTGGAATAGTGATTTTCAGTACAGAAGAAATTATTATACGTATTTACAAAATGATGAATAGCGTGTGATATTTTTGAAATTATGTGTTTCCAGGAATAAATGATAAAATATATGATGATGCCTGATGAATATCGATGATGTTATATGATAAAATGTGCGAAATGGAACCTATGATAATCGAAACCATAAGTCGAAACCATATTAAGGTACGTTACAGAGTAACGTATTACCGCTCATCGCTGATTTTCGATTCCTGGTGACAATTTTTATTCAGCTGGAACTCAGCAACTAATCATTTTGCAAGAAAAAGTTTTATACAAAATTTGTAGAAAATTTCATGCTCTCCAACTTTAATTCAAACATTTTTTTCGTATCTCCAAAAATTATTGAGATACTTCACAAATACAAAAAATTTGGTTTTTTTACTTCAATATATCGGAAAATATCAACAATAGGGGGAAAAGTTTGGTATAAAAAAGATGGGAAATTTTGTTCTCTACAAAAAAGATCTCTTCGGTTTTTAACGTAAAACTTACCGTTTCCGAGATATATGCAAAAAAACAGTTTCCAAGATGGCGGCTAACGCTCGCGGTTTCGGGCGACAGAAACTCGGTTTTATACTTAGGGGGCACCCTCTGATATAATCCAATCAAAAAATCACGTAGAAGGATTTTATGCAGAGAGGACCGATTTTTGGTGCTAAAATTCCTGGACTATCTTGCGATATCTACATCGCAGTGCGCAATATACCGCGAAAGGAAAAATCATTTATTTGTATTTATCACAACTTACAAAGTACGTTGTGAATCGGCATTTTCAGTATTTGTTGTGTAAATACAAATTTTGAAATAGAAGTTTTGGTATGTGATGTGCATATGGCACAAACCAAACTTTCATATTCTTAAATGGTTTCGATTTTGAGATAAAACACGTAGCAAAAATTGTTTAAAAATAACAATTTTCACGGCTGTCCTTTTCTAAAGGCCCTTGGCTCCGGGCAGGGACAGTTGAGTTGAACTATCAAGTGTGAACTGGCATTACAATTTCGAACCCGTTCCTGATGCGAAACAATATTTATATTCTACTCAAGGATCCCTAGACAATAATGTATCACGTGTATGAGATCCCCCATTAAATAATTATAAAATTTAATTTTCAACTCAAAATTCGCCCAAAGCCGAAGATCGTTAACGGTATGAGTTACAGAAAAAAATCTGTAACTCATTCTAGTGTTTGACTAATTAATTTATTATTTTAGGTATAATATTGCTGACCCTGATAGAGTATCTACTTAAGTTTGGAACTATGTATAATTTGAAACCAACTGTAATGTACAACATAGAAAATACAATAAATGTTTTTAAGTTTGAAGAACAGACCTCTCAACTCTCATTCACCGTTGATGAGAAATTTATTTTTTTAAAAGATTATATAAAGTACTATTTTTAAATATAGACTGACCCCTCCCATTTAATGTTTAGTTAAGAATTTTTAACAAGGCCGTTTGGGCCACATTACTTGCCAAAGAAATGTAACCTATTTTCTTTTCTTAGGTCTCATCTACGTTTATACCAAAATTCATAAAAATTTCAACTCCCACCACTCCCGCAGTCTATTCCTGCATAGTACACCGCGCATTAACTTTTCTACCGCTGTAACTTATTAAATATTTGTCCAAATAACTTTTTTTTAATACTTAATGTGCATTTTTGAAATAAATATCAATTTTTATTTTTATTTTCAAATTACTAATTTTGCGAAAAATACATAAAAGAGCACATAGCATATAAAGGAAACAAATACTATCGCGGACTTTTTTTTAGAACTATTTAATAAATACATTTCCACTATACATGATATTCATGAAAGTTTAACGGTTTTTGCAGCGCACGCGCTAGCTCGTAGATGGGAGATTTTTTTTTCATCTTATGTGATAACTGCATAAATTATTATCTATATGTTATAATTATCTATTTGTTATAATTATGTATGAGCTATAATATGGTTAAATTTAATTAAAATCCATTCAGTATTTTTTGGGTGAAAGAGTAACATCCATCCATACAAAATTAAGATTGAAATTAAAAGCGCAAGTGGTTGATATACACCTTTAAATCGTTGTAGATCCTTAAGTGTCACATAATCATTTTCGATTATTTAGACAATGATACCCGACTCGATATATGTATTTCCTGCAAGATGAATTTTAAAGTAAGAAAACTTATTTTTTTTTTCTCACAATATGACTCCTAATTGTGTTTTATCATGTGAAGAGCCCAAGCTCAAGCTTTTGGGATTTCCTCGAGCGCGGCAAAATAACATAAGGGCGGCAACCTTGCGCCTTGTGAAGTGCCCACCATACCTGAGATCTTTATATAGGGTCGAACGTCTAGGGCAGCAAAAACAAATTTTCTACACGGCCACGACTTTTGGTCGCATCCAATGAGTCAGTCTTTTGAATACTGCAAAGTTCACGTTACATCAGTTCTCAAGGATTGGCGAGCTCGAATATTTTTTTTCCTATATTCCACACTTTCGTAGGGCCACAGTCCTTGCCAAAAAGACACAAATGGCCCAAACTCCTTCGTCCGACTTTGAATATAATATAGGATCGTAGTATATTTATCAAAAAGAATCAAAAAAGCCCAAACTTGATGGGATTGCGTCGTTTTATTACGGAGTTTCCTATACTTACCTCCCGGCTCTATCATCAGATTTTATAATTATATTCCATCGGCATTTTTAAGTAAAAAGGGTGGTAGCCAACCTATGGCCCGCTTAATAGTAAGTGGTCTTCTTCTTGCTACGTGCGTTTCCGTAACTCAACGTCCAAATGGCGCCATTTTTCCGCGAGGAGGGTCTGTTGCCGGACTTACTCCGGCTAGCCACGCTCCGTCTGGCACGCCCCCAGGGCCTTCATAATGGTGATTGCATCTTGGAGGTTTCCTGGTGGTAAGTAGTCGCATAAAGACTCTGGGAATACTGTAGCTACAGTACATATTACTCGGGCGTTACATTCTCTAATCCCATCCCCCATCACATAAAACACAACACCGCACTGCTACGGTATTTTTCTTTCAATGCGGTGGAAGTTATACTTAAAAAATTCATTCTCATTGGCATAAAAACCCAATTACGTCAGCTTACCATATTTCGAAACATTAAAAGTAATGAATTATTTTACAAATGAAATATTTGTTGTTATTAATATGTCCTATAGTTATTTGTAAATAGAAGATTTTGCGGAATTCGTTAAGGAAAACCAACTGTATAAAACGTTGAAACATAATTTTATGAGAAACAAAACAAACGATTTACCGAAACATCAGCAGTTTACGTGTGAGCCAACAAGCGTTATCAAAATAGTTCAACATATATAAAGGTTCCCGTCAGTATTTCGGCTAGTGTCCGACTGAATTTGTTACAGTTTCGTTACAACAATGAAGGCAGCACTGGTAAGTAGCATAATGGTGATACCTAGATGCTTTTTATTTATAACAAGCAGGAAGTTTTATGGAGATTTAGAATTTTTACCAATGCACCGGGCATTGACGATTTTTTTCTTTTTTGTCAGCGATCAACAAGGTCATATATAATCACATCACAATTAAAATAAAAGGTTTGTCTTTATTTTAACTACTGTCTTAATCGTGTCCACTACGCTTTTTCAAATACTGTTATGACAAAAGATATTACCACATAAAATTTATATTAGTATGTCAAACAAAAGTAAAAAAAAGTGTGTTAACATATCTCTAAATTTCGTTAACTTAACTAAACTTAACCTCAAAAGTGTTACCTATGTATCAAATCAAATTTATAAATCTGTATTTATTAAAAAGAAAATTTAAGCTTCTCGAGCTTTTGGATATTGAAGAAGTTTATTTATAAAATAATGTAGAAATACGGTTAATACTATAATTAGTATATTTGTAATATGAAGATACAGAAATAAGGTTATTGATGTTTTTTTCTAATCCATTTGATTTTTTACAATCATTACAAGCTATCTTACCCTAGCCCGAATATTTTGTGCAATTTCTAATGTGCATCAAGTTCTCTTTCAAATATGTTTGAAACATCATCCTGTCCACTATCTAACTTAATGAACATTTTATCAATGAACGTTATCATTACTAACAAACTGAAAACAATCGATTTTTCTATGTTGATGCAAATTTCTGTCTATCACTATTCAGATAATGCACCACTTACTTTCTTAAATTATAAAGAACTAGCGGCCCGCCCTCGCTTCGCTTATGACATTCATCTACGATTCTTCTTATACCTGCATGCAAAATCTCAGCCCGATCGGTTTAAAATTGACAAAGTTTCATACAAACTTTCATTCCCTATTTTATCCCCTTGAGGGTAGAATTGATCACAATCCTTTCTTAGCGGATGCCTACGTCATAACATTTACCTGCATGCCAAATTTCAGCCCGACCCGTCCAGTGGTTTGGGCTGTGCGTTGATAGATCACTATGTCAGTCACCTTTGAGTTTTATATATATAGATATAATAATTAAAATTTGAATTCATCATAATAAGTTTATTTACTGAACCTATGTAAAGTTTCTTCAATGTTTCTTCCGTTTAATATATTAACCAATAAATAGTACTCTAAAAAATAAGAAGACTATAACGTGAAGTGGTAATACAATATATGTTATGTACCTAATATTTGTTTTCGATTTCAGTTTTTATTTAAATATTACCAGCTCAGTCTGTAGAGCATGAGCCTCTTTATCTCAGGGTTATTGGTTCGAACATCACTTTGGATGTAAACATTTCTTTTTGTACTTTTTAATATCAAAATTTTGGTATTCTTTTCTATTTTTGTATAGGTACCATTTGAATAATTCTCAATATCTAAAATACTAAGGCCCGTATTATAGAAAGATTCTCAGTGATTGATCTATTCTTGAGCAAAGTTAGAAAGGGATATCGCTATATATAGCACATAGCGACATCCCTTTCTAACTGTACTCAAGTAAAAATCAACACTTAGTTGTCATTCTGTAATACGGGCCTAAAAGTGTGTCGAAAATTAAAAAAAAAAAATTTTCGACACATGGTAGGTATTTGATATATTATAACATAATATTAATTGATTTATTTTAAAAAAAGCATAATAATATAGATCTTTATGAGATGATATTGATGTAGTGCCCGGAACTTGACCTCCGTATTCTTACCAAATTGAAACACAAATTATCTGATCATTTCTGACATTTGACTTATTATCTTCACCCATACATACCACATAAATATTTCTGTGACTCAAAGTTTTATCGCTATCAGTTGAAGTTTTTGTTCTTAAACGTTTAAATATTTATATGCATATCCTGCAAAATTCCTAAAATTGCATATTCACAAAAATCCAACAACTCTTTCGAGAATATGTCTAATATAATTATTGTTTTGGTCTCATAGGAATATAACTAAATATTATGGAGTAGGTAGGTACATTTGCTAAGCGTAGAAACTTGATCAAATGACTGCAAATCCTGTAAGGCTGTTCTAATCTGGTTTACAGACTGCTCCGTAAGAGGTCAAAATATAGGATGTGGAATATACATAAGGCGAAAGGCCAAGATTCAACAAAAGTATGAATCTTGGAAAAAAAGACTATTCTATATTAGGAGAGTTCCAGGCAGAGGTATATGCCATCATCGTCATAGAATGTGCAGAAGCCAATCTTCATCAAAACTTAACAAACCAGGACTTATATATATATCTCTTTTCAGATAGCTAAGCAGCGCTCAACGCTATTAACTCGAAGTAAACTACATTGATAAAATAAATAACCTGGGTTAAAAGAATAAAGTTTTTAAATGGGTAGGTACCATAGGTCATTCAGGGATAATCGGCAATAAGAAAGATGGACTAGCAAGAGCAGGGCAACAGATGTAGCCAGAACCTTTCTGTGGCATCCCTAGAAACTATGCTATGGAAATTCTAAATTCTTAAGGATGACATCCTACTAGTCTAGAAGAATCCAAAAAATAGTGGTTAAACCAACCAGGAAGGCAGAACACCAGTGCTATTTATTTATTGTAAGAACCTGAATTCGACACTGAAAACTCAACAGATACAAATTTCATATAAAATTAAGTGACACTGATGTTTGCAGATACCAAAGTATGCGAATGTGGGCCTCTTCTTCACAGACGGATTATTCATCTGCGAGGACATATAATACGCCCAAATAAAATCAAATCTCTAAAAGCTAGAAACGTTTTGAGCTTCTTGGAAGCTGTCGGGCTAAAATAGATAGGTACTTTAACTTGGTGGCGAGTCATAATAGATCTTTTAGATCACAGTACAATTCCACTGGGAGTGCATAGCATCAAACCTGAAATAATAATATTATATTCCCGTATTATTATTTTTTATTATTTAAATTTTGTAGTTTTTAGGCATTTTATATTTTTTTTTTACGTGTTAGCCTGACGTATTGGGTGACGGAAATGAGGAACACGAGGTTAATTTGTAATTAAAAATAAAATAGGTTACAATAATCATATTAAATAATGCTCTAAGGATGAATTCAAAGTTTCATTTATGCATAACAATCATTTAACAGAAAACAATTCAGGCATAATAAAATTAAATGAGCGAACGGATATCGTGAACCACGCGAATGGTAATTACTTTCTTATGTTATCTAGTACGACAGCGAAACACTAGACATCAACCAATAATTAATAATTGTGCAAAATAAAGGACAAGCATATTTTTGTTAAATCTAAATAAATACACTTGTTAAACGGATTATATTTTTTACTAGCAAAATATGTAAATCTCCTTTCAAAATTTATAGAGCGTAAAGTAAAATTATAGCGTAGAAAGTGTGATTATGCCCCTTCAAACTTAAACTCCATAGTAGTCTGACAGTTAATGCCGATATATCGCTTTATCATATCCCGTTTCGGTGGTCATGCTAGAGGGGCTGGTTACTGGATAGCTAATCGAAATAGGAGAACCACTTAGAAACAAATATTTTGGATGATGTTTTACCAAATTAAGTGTACATAATTATATTTCTTATTAAATAATTGATAGAACTAATCCCAAAAAAAATATTAACCGCAAAATAGTAACAGACTTAGTAGATATTTGCATGAACGTTAAAAATTCAGCTGAGTGAGAATGACCGAAACACATGGCTTAACTTATACAGCATCGCATAGAGACAGAAATAGAGAAGAAGAAGACTGAACCTCTAAAATCAAAATATCACTCATCACCTGCACCTGAATCTGCTACATTTATCATTGATTTGGTCTTCTGTTGTCTAGAGACTTAATCTGATAACAACCCTGCTCATTTATAAACTATTATTTTGCAAGGAAGTTGACGTACTCTATATTTTTGGCAACAACATGTATAATTATTTACATTTATAGTTATTACAGAATATTAGAACTTATGGGAAAATTAATATTTATAGATTTTCCTCGCCGTGGTGGTGGCAATGGCTTCAGCCGCAGGTACGTAAAATTTTGAAATTCCTAACAAACCGGATTCTTTACACCTGTACAATTTTACATATAAGTTCGTTGGTTTACTGTGTGTAAAAAATACATAATTTTCTAAAGTATAAATATTTTCCACTCTCACACCAATTAGCCTAGCCCCTAAGTAAGCTATGTAAGGCTTGTTTTATGGGATACTGAGGGTAACGGATAGAATACATATACAGATCCTTATATAAGTATATTTTATTTAGAAATATATGTATATAAATATTCGTGACTAAGGAACAATTGCTCGTTTTCATCATACTAACATTTGTCCCCAACGGGATTCGAACCCCGGACCTCTCAAGTAGGCCACACCATGAAACTCGGCGTATGGACACATCTTGTTAAGAATACGCAATGAATTTAACCGAACGCACCGCTGTATGGCCCGTAATTTTGAATTTTCGAACAATGGTATACAACCTTCGTAAATGCATTTTTTGAGCAAATGTGTTGAAATAGTATATTTCATTACTAGTACGAAATGGTTGTCATTGCAAAGAGTTCCGACAAATGTCTACCCGAGCCGAAGGCGAGGGTTGACAGTCGGAACGAGTTGCAATGACGGTGCCGTATTTTTAATACAGTTGCGAAAAAATGAAGCAATTTAATCAAATTATAAAAACACAATAAACTCAATTAACTAATCATTTATTTCTTATAAAAGTTATAATTCACATATACATTGAAATTGGTACAGTTTTTTATACTAACTGGGGAAGTTTTACGTTGCATATTTACTGTTTGAGACAAACTATTATTAATTTCGTATGATTGTTCATGTATATTTGTCATACAATGGCGTTTGCTAGTTGATGGAATTGGATCTGATGAATTATCATTATCAACGAAGGTACTCGTAGATGGACGAACGTTCTCTTCAGCATGTGAAGGAGACGGACTGGACCTTAAATTAATGGATTGTGTGATCTTTTTCCCAGTTTCTAGTTTGTTGTTTAATGAATCACCAATATAGCTTTGTGCAACTTTGTCCGATTTCCAACCACCTAGTCGCTTTAAGGACGTCAAATTGGCTCCTGAATCTGCCAATAATGTAGCAGAGGTCCTTCTGAAGCTGTGCCCAGTATAACACTCAGCATCCGGCAGACCAAGAAACGTAGCTATTTCTTTTGGCATATTACCAAATTTGTTTATGCCGATTACTTGAGCTGTACACTTCCCTTTTTGGAAATTTTGAAAAAAACGGTCGGATTTTCCTTTTTGGGACCGCTAGTTCATATATTTTTTCACTATTGTGAGAAAATCTCCTTCAACAACAAAGCTTCGCGGTATCTTATTTTTTGTGTTTGGAATCTTGATAAGTAGCATTTCTCCATGGGCTTCAATATCTTTTAAAGTAATATTGGCTAACTCCTCTCTGCGGCAAGCTCCAACAACGCCAAAAATCAGAGCAACCTAAAAAAACGATTTGATTCATATAAATAATGTATTGACTGTATTTTGCGATTTTGTAAACTGAACACTAAAGAAAAATGTAGATATGTATACTTATTAATAAATTACCTTTGTGGCTAAATAACAATCATCGGGAGCTTCTTTCAAAAACCTTTCCACGTCATTCGATGTTAATATTTTCGACTTTTTACTGGTAAACCCGTCTGATTGTCGTTTTAAGAAAGAATTTAATTTTGGATATTGACTTATAACCACGTTGTTCCTTATTTACAGCATACTTTTTATCATCGAAAACCTTGACCATAACGTAGAAGGTTTTAATTTTGCTGAGAGTTCGGAAAAGTATGCCAACATAACATTTTCTGAAAAACTATTTGCTTTTTTCTCTTCTTTCCACGCAATAAATTCATCGTATGTAGATATGTAGCGAATTTTTGACTTTTCCGGTAAAATGTTCTCCGAAGCATTTTGTGCAATTATACTGAGTTCCGTTGGAGTTAATTCAAAAAAATTTAGGTCCAAATTACTCATTTTGTGTAAAAAACAACTAAACTCGCAAAGAAAATTTCGGAAAATGGCGCCAACCGTAGAATGTAAGCAGTTTTTTTTCACCCATTCTGGTAGACAAAGGGAACTGCCCGTACAGCCAAGTCTTTAGTACTTAGTATTTTTAATTATAAGCAATGAAATTGAAATTTAATGATATGAAATGAACTGAAACCTTACCTAACTCATTCAATCAATTAATTAATTCTGATTTGGGCAAATTAGTATAGGTAGCTTCTTTTTAAAAACAAATAAACCTATTTGCATGAATCGCAAAAACTTCTATGATTTTTTTTAGTTAAAACTTCATGGTTGTTTTTTTAATAGAAATAATTTTGACAGTTGGGAAAGAAAACGCACGAGTTCGGGAAAGGCAAAAAAAAAGCACGAGTGTGAAATAGCCCAGATCCCGAACGCTACACGTCCCTGCAATACGCCACTTTTTGAGCAACTGTATTAAAAAATATATTTCAGACCAGAGATTTTCTGCCATACCAGCTCAACAACTAGACAATTAGTCTAGTTGTTAACATCATACATAAACACAAAATCATGCAGTTACTCAGGTGACATCATCTTAAATAATGTAAGCAGGCATAACAGAATATTTTCACGAGTGTTTAACAATGATGAATTTAAGCGTCCCATTAGTCACATCACAGCATACTTATGCTATGGTTTAAAAAAATACATTTTAACACATTTCAACATTACTGTTTTGTTCTCTTTTTACTTTGATATCTATCACTCTATTTGTTCTTTGTTTGTTCAGGTGTCAACTTTGTGGACAATTCGCCACCACAAAACGGAAATGGTGGTAATTAATTATATTTATTTCTTTTAGTTAATTGTTTATCATTAGGTACTTACATTGCAAAGTTATCGGAAAACATTTTGGAATCCCAAAAAGTTGTGCTGAACATTATGTCTGTATCAGCAGTTTATAAATAATTTAAAACAGTATCTAGGATATAATGTATTGTTCTTTCGCAACTCGATCGAAGTTCGCCACTTAGATTTCAACACACAAATTCATACAATTTACTAATTTAAAGAATAGTAAAACTGACATATTTTAAAAAATAAAGTACATTATTGCAATTGATATTTGAAGAAAAGTTTCTTTTCAAATAATTTTGAAAATCCTGATAGGGAAACCTTTACCATGCAAACTTGTTTTTAATTCAAAAATTTTCTTTTTCAGTTCATGTCGTAGATAACTCTAATGGTGAGTGCACACTTTATGCCTAAAAATATTTAGTTTACCTTTATAAGTACACATCACAGCGTACTTATACTATGGTTTAACAAAATAACATTTTTTTAACATCACTAGCTGTTTTTTGTTCCCTTTTTACTTTGATATCTATATCACTCTATTTGTTTTTTGTTTGTTCAGGTGTCAACTTTGTGGACAATTCGCCACCCCAAAACGGAAATGGGGGTAATTAATCATATTTATTACTTTTATTTTATTGTCTTCCATTAGTAACATTGCACTTACATTGCAAAGCTATCGGAAAACTTTTTGTAATCCCAAAAAATGTGCTGAACATTTTGTCTGTATCAGCAGTCTATTAATAATTTAAAACAGTATCTAGGTATAATGTATTGTTCTTTCGTAACTCGACCGGAAGTTCGTCACTTAGATTCTCTCATCACTCAGACAAATTCATAAAATTTACTAATTTAAAGAATAGTAAAATAGAAATATTTAAAAAAAGTGCACTATTCCAATTTATATTTGAAGGAAAGTTTCTTTTCAAAATGTTTTAAACGTATATGTAACATTTACGAAGAATCTGATAAGGAAACATTTAACATGCAAACTTGTTTTTTAATTCTAAATTTCTCTTTTTCAGTTCATGTCGTAGATAACTCTAATGGTGAGTGCGCACTTTATGTCCAAAAATATTAGTTTTCCTTTATTAGTACCATTTATTAATTGATAGTAATTAAATTGGTATTTCAATACACGTCTAATTATTTATTTATTCATCTTAAACTGTATATTTTGTCTACAGGTGTTAACGTCGTTGACAACAACCCAGATAATGGACAACAAGGTAGTTCTTAATTTAATTCATTTTATTTAGATTAAAATTATTTAATTATACAGTTTTAATAAATAAATATAATAACTTCAAACAACCCACCTAAAGTTTTGCTTAGGTTGGGTTTTCATAAATTGTAGTACCTACTACTCGTAATTGTAATACTACTCGTAATTTAAAATAAATAATTCATTTATATTTTTTTTTTTTCAGTTAACTTTGTCGATAATGGTGAGTGATTTATCATTTAAAAGATATTCTAGAATGCTCTTTTCCTATTTTGAAGTGAAATGAGGTCTTGACAATACAGTGAATGAGATATTTTATTCAATGAACCAATGTACGTACTGCCCAATAATATACTTAGCGTCAGTTAATATTTATTTATTATTTTACAGTTGACCCGTTATTCAATCAACCACACAAACGTGAGTACTGATATTACTTATAATAAGTATACTCAGTAACTACTTTGTGTACTCTCAACCCTTATATTGCACCAACCACCCAGAGATTGAATCTTAAAAATCCTTGAAATACGCGTTTGATTATTTTAATTTTCGAGTGTTTTTAATAAATTTGAAGTAAATCGACTCAAAAATAAATAATACATCCATACAAACTTTCAACCCCTATTTAACAGACAAAGAAAATGCTTCCATTTAAAATATTTTCTAATTATTTATCTAGTTTATAAAATGTACCTTTTGTCCAAATTTTATCATTCTAGATTCAGGGGTTTCATTTCCACGTTGACGAGTCAGTCAGATTCTCTCTTTATATAATATGTTGGGGAAAAAGTCTTTTCTCATTATAGTATAGTATCAAATTGTAATAGTCCCTTTGGCTATATATACCGTTTGTATCTGGTTGGTTTTGGTATCGTTAAAAGTTGTAAATTTTAAAGAAGATAACTCCAAATTCAAATTAGAAAAATGTGTGATTTTCATTTGATTTAAATGCAACGCAAGGCGCGAAAACAATTTGCGATGTTAATGAACCTAGTGCAGTGTTAAGAATTGACCACAAAACAGTTTGGGCGCATTTGAAAAAAGCTGGGTACACTAAAAACCTTGATAATTGATTGCCTCACGAGCTCTCTGAAAGAAACCTATTGAACCGTGTACGCATTTGTGATTCATTATATGATAACTACTGATGAAAAGTGGAACACGTACGACAACAACGTGCCAAAATAGTAGTGGTCAAAGGCCGGTCAGGCTTCACAGACTGGTGAAACCCGGGTTAACTCGCAACAAGGTGATGCTGCGTGTATGGTGATTGGAAGGGCATTATTCATTATGAGCTGTTACCGCCAGCAGGACCATTGATTGTGAACCATACTGCGAACAACAGATGATATTAAGCAAGAAATTAAGAGAAAGCGGCCGGAATTAATCAACAGAAGGAGTCTGGTTTTTTATCATGATATGCTATGTCTCACACATCTTTAGCCACTCAGCAAAAGTTAAGAAAGTTTGACTGGAAGATGTTAATGCCTCCACCGTATAGTACTGACCTTCAGATTTCCACCTGTTTCTTCTCTCTCTTAGAATTCCTTAGGCAGTGTCAGGTTAACATCATAAGAGGACTGTCAAAACCACTTGTCGCGGTTTTTTGATCAGAAGCCCCTAAATTTCTATAGCAATGGGATCATGTCTCTACCTACGAGATGGCAAAAAGTACTTTAGCTGAATGTAAATAATTTTCAAAATGTTTTGAATTTTCATATAAAATACGAAGAAACTTTTTCCCCAACATAATAATAGTGTAGATCTGGATGAATGTTTGACGCTTATAGAGCTGAGGATATTTAGATTTATTGTTTACCAATTAATTCATACTGAAGAGCTACAACATGACATTTTTTTCTTTTTATTTACAGCTCAAGGTGGCTACGAACCAATTGGTAAGTTTAGATTTCAGAATCACTAAAAATATTTATTAAGTAGTAAGATTTTCTTGAGCATTCAAAAAATTCAGCACTGTTTTCTTGAAATCCTTTTATTATAAGGTTATTTACCTATTATTTGTTTCAGACATCGGGCCGGCATTTGTAGAACCACAACAAGGATGTGAGTATTAATATATATATATATATATATATGTATGTATATATATATATATATATATATATATATATATATATGTATATATATATATATATATATCATCATCACCTAACATCAGCCTATTAACTGCCCTGATACTGGGGCACTGGCCCCCCTATGGATGGTTTAAGGAGATTAGGTCGTGACCCATCACGCGGGCCCAGTGCAAGTTGGTGGATGCTCACGACTGCAGGTGCTGCCAGGACTGGGACCAACGGCTTAGCGTGCCTTCCGAAGCACAGAGAAGCTCGAGCTGCTAAGTTTTTGGTTACCCATCTAATGACCGACCATTGCGAAAGTTGCTTAACTTCCACGACCGCAGGCCGAACGCGCTAACAACCTGCGCTATCAAGGATCTCATATTTATTGTACATATATAGGTACATACAAGAAAACCTTTAACCCGTGATGCAAAGTTTTATAGGTACTTATAGTGTCCAAATACAAAAACACTGATGTCACATGTAGATGATAGCATGAAATTCATTGCTAGGTAATTCGCTCATTCCGTGAAAAATCTGGATTACCACCAAGTTTCTACGGTAACTTGTTTTATTGAATATAATATCCGATCTACATCCTTCTCCTGAACCTTAAACTTAGAAGACCCGAAAACATTGAATTTATAATTTTGCCAAACATTCATTAATAATGTACCTGTTTCTTTTCAGACGTCGATCACTCCTACCTGCGTAGCGGCAAGTGAATGAAATAGATATTCTATTCATACAAAAAATAAAAAAAACCTTAATACGTACCTACCTACAAATTGTTTAATTAAAAGATACCTTATGAAATTTACAAACATTTTAATAGCCCTTACTCTTATAAGAATATTCTTAAAACTGCTTAGAAGTGGTGGCGGAACTATACGTATTGTACAACTGACTCCTGTAACAGATACAAGGTTGTTTCTCGTCCAGATGAGCTGATTTAGTTTTGTGAAGTGTTTTGTAAAATTATATGTTTAAACGTCACTCAGGAAAGCTTAGGATTCTTTTCTGGTTCCTGCTATACTAGCCAGCTATTCAAGAATCCAATTTTTTCTACTGTTTCTAATATGCGGAGAACATTCCGTCAAGAAAAAGGTAATTTTGCTATGATTTAAGAGAATTTGTAAAAGGGAAGTTTCCAATTATTTATATTCTTATATTATATTCAAATAATAGTACTAAACTCGCTATTAAGAAAACTGTTTACTTTTTTAATTATCTTTATAAATGACGAAGTTGATTTTTACCCGCCCGCTTTATAAAGTTGTCGGCATGCGGCCGGTCAAAACCTCTTGAAATTACAAGTTCCGCTGGACACGGTTAGTACTTTGATTGGATTAAGACGGATTATTAACTATGTATTAAGTTTTTTCGAAATATTAATTTATGAAATTTTACATTTAAAATTGTAAACATTGGAAGGGTAAGGATTGTTGGTAAATACCAAGCCTGTATTAATAAAGAACTTAGGCAAACCAACCTACCAAACGTTTAATACTTAACTATAACAGATAGTGTAAAATACTGGGCAAATTTAAATTTTCCACACTTAAATTGTTTCGAAAAATAAATAATAGCTTAATAAAAGAAAAAAAAAGCAATTAAAAAAAATATCGACCTCAGGATCGAACCACCGATCAGTTGGTGTCGACCCCAAGTCATATATTCTACTTCCGTTTCATCAAATCTCAAATCACAACGGTGCTAAAGAAGTGTTCACTGCAAAATGATTTATTTTTAACTTTATTTCAGTGTAAGGGTTCCGAATCAAAAAGGACCCTTATAGTTTCGTTATGTCCGTCCGTCCACAATTTAGATCAGAAACTAGACAGTTATAATTTGGTTTGGGATTTAGTAAATAAAATCTTTAAAAAAAAAGGTTTTTTGTGTGTTATTTTTTCCCCGTGTATCTTATGGTGTGGGGTATTGTTAAATAGGTCTTTCAAAAATATTGAGGGTTAATAAAAATGTTTTTTCGAATAAGGTATTCGTTTGTGAAATATTAAACTTTATAGAATAATTTGTTAGAGTCAGGTTGTACCCCTCTTCTGCCAGCACGAAGTTTCTTGACATGTTAAGAAATACGGTAGTAGTAGATATAAATAATAAAATTAAAAGGCAAAACTATCACAACATTTTTGTAAAAACCTTATTTTTTTTTAAAAGCATTATTAGACGCAATTACATCTTTCATTTCAAACTACCCGAATCTAGTCTCAAAGTTCTCTAGCTAAGCCATGATTATAGAAAAACTAAGTAGGTACCGATGGTCGCTATCAGGCACAACCACTTTTGGTTAATTAACAGAGTTCCCACGCACAAAGCCATTTTCCAGTGTCAAAATTTAACATTAATGTAGTTATTACTTATCCAAAAGATTAATTTATATTTTAATTTATTTGGTTGGTAACATAAAACTTTATAAATACTGCATTATATGGACTTCGGTGAGCACCAAACAACGAAGACCCTTTAGCGCATATACTCGTCACGTCACAAAACAGCCTCACGATCAATTGTGCTTCTTATACAAAATGCCAGTGCGGTCCTGCGTGGAATTTTGCTCGCACCTCTGGGATGGCTTCATTAAGTACTTACTCGATGCCTTGAATAGGTTGCAGCAGCGCACTGCCTGCATCATTGGTGGCTCTACAATTACCCCGCGATGTGGCATCATTAAACGCATTCTACCGTCTATACCACTGCGAGTGTTCTGAGGAGTTATTCTCCCTTATCCTACCTTCCTCTTCCTTCACAGGACCAGACGAGTTGGCCTACTTAGTTACAGACTTACTGTGCCACTATTTCTACACGAACAAAAAAAAATGGTGATTCATTTCTGTGTCCTACTATTCGCAAATAGTATTCTCTTTGTCCTTTCTACGATCTGGGTTCCTTTAAGAGAAGCGTGAAGAATCATTACATTCAGGCCGGCACGGTGAGGATGGGTGGTGTTTATATCTGCTGCACCAGCTATCTTCGTGTCAGGACATTACCATCATTTAAAATAAGGTGGAGTAGAGTCATTTGCTAACCTAGCTATAAAAAGAAAATTGTTAGAACTGTTGCCCGCACGAGTAAGCACAAAAAGAATGATTCATTTTACAAATGAATTATAATGAAACAGTAATACATAGTCTCCGTAATTCTAAATTTTCAAACACAATAAACAATGCGGTTATTAATTTTTTTGCTTGTCTGGCATTCGTAGTTCACGGACGGGAAGTTTGAAAACTTCTTATAGGTATGTACACCTACCTCTATCTATACATGAATACACATATATATTTATGTGTAAATATTAAAATTACCTAACTACATAAAAGATTTATCAAAATCACTTTTGCAGATTTAAATGATAAGAGAGTAAGTGGTTTGATAAGGTTTTAAAGAGAAATAAGACACACCGGGTAATCCGTCCAAATTGAAGAACCTTACTTACCTTAGCAGTTAGTATTTGAAGTAGTAGGAAGTACTACAAATACTAACTTTTGTAACTACTACAAGTACTAACCTTAGCAGTTTCTAAATTAAGTACATAATAGTGGTATTTGTCTGCAATCATTGACGTATAAAAACGACAATAATTGCAGACAAATTAGTATTCTGTGAGGTAGAGGACAGACGGAGGCATTACCACAAGCGCATAAAACGAAATTATTTAATCTTTACTTATATTCTTGAAATAGTACTGAACATCTTCTTTATTCAGTCGACATTATGTAACATTGAAATAACAATAAAAAAGATAATACAATGCACTTTTTTGCTCATTCCTTTATACCGAAACTTGGGTACTAAACTCAACTTTGGTAAGGAAGAACTCGCACTTAGTTGTTTTTTGGCAAGCTTATAACTAATAATTTGTAATTTATTAAGATAAAAATTTAAACCCGCAATGTTATTATATATATATTTAAGTAAGTAATATATAAACATAAACCATAAACGTCAATCGATCGTTTAAAAATCAACACAAATGTTGGAATGTGTTTGCCAAGCAAGTGTGTGATGATAAAAAATTACCTATTATTATAGCGAGAGCAAAGAGTTATCAAAAGACCCTGAACTCATATATAAAACATTGTCAAAATAATCATCAGATCAGTTTTAATCTTACCGCACGATCAACATCGTCAAATAAAATGAAGACGGCACTGGTGAGTAATACGGATTTTAAGTAAAAGATTTTTTAGATTTTCTGAATCTTTATTCATTTGTTTATGCTAGCAGAAAAATAGATTGAGCGGTAATATCATTAGGTTAACATATGAAACATATGAAAGTGGCGTTTTGTACGGGAGGAATATAAAGTATATTATTTTTTTAATATAAATTAAATAATCAAAGTATACACCGTTGTTATCTATGCGCTTGTCTCATAGCTAGTTCATTGATCCCTTTACTAAAAAAACCATGGAGGTGAGAATCAATAAACTCTTTGAAGGCGGTTTGGAATGCCGAATCGGAGTTGAATTTTTTTCCTTGTAAAAAGTCGTCCAAATTCCGGAAAAAATGGTAATCTGTTGGAGCAAGGTCCGGGGAGTATGGTGGATGTCGCAGACATTCCAATTGTAGCTCATCTAAGTTAGTAGTTGTTTGTTGTCCAGTTTGTGATCTTGCGTTGTCGTGAAGCAGCAGTGGCCTAGAGCGATTGACCAATCTAGGTTGTTTAGTAGCTAGTTGTTCCTTCATGGTTTGCAGTTGCTGATAATAGATATCTGCCGTAATCGTTTGGGCAGATTTTAGAAAGCTGTAGTGAACGACACCGGTAATATTCCACCAAAATTTCACAAGTAGTTACTTGTGGTTTTCTGAGTCAATTTTCGTTTAGGGCTGGATTTGGCTGGGTCTCCAGCCATAGCGATGAGTGCTTCCGATTATTGTACAGTATCCACTTTTCATCACAAGTAATCATTCGATTTAATATCCCTTCATTATTGTGTCGGTTGAGCAAAGTAACACAGCAGTCGACGCGTGTTTGCAAGTCGATTCACTCAATTCATGAAGTACCCATCGCTCAAGTTTTTTTACTTTTCCGATTTGCTTCAAGTGGATTAATAGAGTTTTGTCACTTACCCCGAAGCCTGCAGTTATCTCCGAAGTGCTTTGTGAAAGATCCGCTTCCACAATACTCTTTAATTCTTCATTTTCCACTTTGGTCTCCCGCCGTCCACGGGGTTGGTTCTGAAGGTTGAAATTTACAGAACGAAAACGTTGAAACCAAAAACGTACAGTGTAACGTACATTAACCCTTCGAGCTATTTCTGCAGCACTGGTGCCACGGTAGAACTCGTACTTGTAAATATACCGATATTTCATGTTTTCCATTGTGCGGTAATAAGCGACGCCAAAGAAAAAAGTTATGAGGAAAAAACAAATGAATGAATGTTTTCAAAACTCAAATGTACCGGCTTAATGAATTTATAAATTCGAATTTGGAATTCTTAACCAAAGAGGAGATATTTCAGATCAAAGTGGTCAGTACGACAAAACGCTAATTTTATATGTAATGACCTAATATTAGGCTTGGATACTTACAAGGTATAGAAATTATAATAATAAAACAAAAAAAATATAAAATAAAATAAATATAGTCTCTGAAAAACTACTGGATCTATTTCGAAAATTATTTCTCCAATTAGCAAAAGTAAGTAGGTACTCAGCTAATTTGATTTCTGACCTACCAGGTAGACTATCGCTTAAATGTGCG